GGCTGCTGATTGCTCAAGTCAGAATTCCAATGTTTAAAATTCACTGTCAACAGCAAGCTTAAGTCTTCTTCCATTCAAATGAAGTAAAAATGCTCTGCAATTTCATATTATAAAGTTTCAGTTAAAGTAATTCGTTTAAGGAGTTCGATTCCATGGAAAATAAGAGCATGATTTTGCATGATTTAGCATTACATCTTAAAAACCCAGTTTAAGTCAAGAATTTTATGTTCTCCTGCTCCAAAGGGCACCTCCACTTACTTTCTCTCCTCATTTATTCAGTTATTACTATGCTATCAGTTGGCTCTAGCACTAAATGACAAGTTTAGTTACACGTAACACAGTATCATCCACTTTTCCACTGCACAGATGAAAACTCAAACTCCTCCTTCTACGTAATTGTCTTCTATAATGCCACACGGTTTGAAACATTTTGGTACCTCGCCTCTGAGGTTTGTACAATCCTGCACTGTTCTGTGGCCAAGCAGTTCAGCAGTGCTGCGTTCTCTAGCTCCAGGAGGGCTCAGCACTTCAGCTCCAGAGGAGGTCCTCACCTCACTGCCAACACATCCCAGAACAGTTCACTGATTCAGTGGTATCTAACACCAGAATCAGCAGCAAGTCACTGGCACTGAGTGTCAGAACTGTGTATTAATTCCATGTCACATAATTGCAGAGAAGTGCATTCAAAGCCACCTATCTCCAAAGCAGTTCATCATTGCAATGTCACCGAAGTCCACTGTGGTGCATTAATTCTGTCTCATCTCCCTCCACCGCAGTTCATCAATTCAGTGCCCTGAAACTTGGAAATAGTATTTAACCTCATTAAAACTCATCAAGAAAGAAAAACGTGCCAGGAAAATGGAAAGACATATATCATACAAATGTAGGAATCAAACCTAGAGGTCAAAGGATCTTCATTACAAAGATGTAAGTGATTTAGGTAGCCAGATACTTCTAAAGTATTTCAAAAATATACATCTACCAAATTCTTTAGCTATCCATCCACACAGTGTATATTCAAAACCTAACACATCCTGTATACTCACGGACATCCAAACACCTAGAGCAAAAGCATGTCTTCCTTTAAATTGGACCAAATTCAAGTTGGACCAAAGGCATTATCAAGCGCCTCTGAATAAAATAACTAACCCACCACCTTTTTAAAACTGCTGCCCAGCTGGGAGAGCTGCTCTAGGGCTAATTATGAGTCAGAGGCAGGATATGGAGGCCACTGCTTCCCTGACTGCAGAAGTCTGCCCAAAGAGCTCTGAAGGAACCTGCTGACTTCCGCTTCTGTCCATCCATGTCAGAGAAAGCTTTGAAGAAAGCTGCACAGAAGCCTCATTTCCTCACTGGGAATGGTTTGGCTGTATTTACAGAATGTCACCTCAACTGTAGCTCTCCCAGTGTAATGGTTAGAAACCTGATGCTCCTGGTGGGTGGAGATCTGAAATCTAATACCAGGAGCAAGCCTGAATGAAAGGGGCGTAGACCTGTTCTATTCCTACTCTCCTCTTCCAGTCTTCGGGACTTCCTGCTGGGGTCTATAAAAGGGGGGAGAAGACACACCTCTCTCTCTCTCTTGCTCTCTTCTCTTCTCCTCTGCGGGGGTCCTGGCCAGAGGCACGCTGCTGCTGCTGCTTGTGGTTTCCCTGTGCTGCACATGGCTGTGGCCATCTTGAAGACCTGGGCCTGATCTACAGACTCTTCCCTGCCTCCATCCACGCCCAAGGATTGTGCATCCACCTCAATCCAGCGAGATCCAGCACTGGGGAGCCTCAGCACAGCACTTGGGTTTTGTATTTTTTGGAATGTTAACCTTCCTTGCTTTGTTGTTATTATAATCCCTTTACCCTGTTAAACCCCTACTCTTCTTCCTTTCTGTTCCCTGTTAAATAATATATTTCATTTTGTTAACTTTCCAATCGGTGCAAAGCTTTCATTACCCCTGCCTTCCTTTATTTACCTCTCTACCTGGGAGAACTAAGGGATAAGGGAGGTGGGACACAATTCTGCCCTCTAACCGGGACACCCAGACACCAAGAAATGCAGGCAGCTGGCACGAGGACTCCCTTTCTCTCCCTCTCCAGATACATCATCTATACATATATGTTATGTGACTATAACATTGCACAGGATCTTACATGGCTGTTAATAAAATTAAACTTCTGGCCCCTGAATAATCCCTATGTCTTACACCACACATACACTCAATTCTTTCTTAAGGAAGAAGAAATATCCACAGCAATACCAGCTCAATTTCCCAAAATTTTCTGCTGGCTATGTGGCAAGCCTGATCCTGATTATGTCTTATACCACACATACACTCAATTCTTAAGGAAGAAGAAATGTCCACAGCAATACCAGCTCAATTTCCCAAAATTTTCTGCTGGCTATGTGGCAAGCCTGATCCTGATTAGCAAAGCCGAATGTATTTAACTTCCACCCTCTGTACATCTCAGGCTATAGTTTATTGCCCAGTTTTATGGCACATTCCCAAATACTTAAAACCCATGAAGCCTAATATCTTTTAAGAACTTTAAAAACCTGTAAGCAGATTTTCATAAAATATCCATTTCAGTGTTGCAGGCAGGTTCTACAGTAGTATCTCTATACAGAAGAAACAGAACTGCACCCTGTTTGAATTTATTAAAAAAAGGAAAAAAAAAAAAAAACTGAATTTTGATCTCTAATTTACACACAGTACTCTTAAGCATATGCACCAACTTGGCATGGAAATAAATTAAAGATGTGTCTACCTAATATTCATGGCTATTTTTGTACCCATCAGACCAATAATTAGGAGACTAATTATAGAAGAACCACTGCAGAATCAGCCCTAAGTTAGTGAAGGGTGGCCCTTCCTTCAGACTCTTAACTCTGTGGAGCACAACCTGCAGCATGGGGAAAAACTCTGCCATGGAACAGCTTTGTCACCTCTGCCAAAAAACAGTGTGCCAGCCAAAGAGCCCAGAGTGAGGAGCTAAAGCAAGAAAGCTGACACAGCTCACTTCTCCCTGCAGCAGAGGAGAAAAAGGGATCATACTGTGCTCTTGAGTTCTAACCTGCCCTGTGCTCTCCGTGCCTGGACACAACATCATGAATTCTCTATTACTCAGGAAGGTGACACTCCAGTATCAGTGACAGTTGAAAGGCCAATAGAATTTTTTTTACCCTGGATTGCCATGCAGACCTCCTTGGGAACGGAGATCAAAACAAAGTCTGTGGCAGCACAATCCTGACAGCACCACAGTGCCCGTCAGTGCTTTGCACTAAAATCAAACTAAATCGAACATTATCAAACTGAAATTCCTCGTTGTATTATCACAGGTTTCCAAAAATCGTAAGGTTTTATTAGACAGACACTTTGATAAGTGCCCAAATCTCACCAATTTTTGGGAAGCTGGTGTTTTTTTTTATGGTATCTCCCCCCATTCCTCTCCATTATGTACACTATATATCCATTAGTTGCATAAAACTGAAGTCCAAAGTAAACCTGACCTCCACATGTATTTCATGGTTTCAAAACAGCATTGTGAAGTTCTTTTTTGAATCAATTATACACAGCCATCAACAAAGAGCAGGTACCCAAAGCCTAGCCTCCTGGAGACTCCTCAGCTCACACAGGAGCAGATGCAGTGAGATGAAACAGCAGCACCTCCTGGACAGACACTTATCAGTTAAAAGAGGCTGAAGTTTTCCCCTCAAAGTCTTAAGCTGCCAGGAGTGGCTTTGGTCAGGAGGAGACTGCTTTTTTTCCAGTGCTTAAGAGGAGAAAAAAGCTCCAGTCACCTGCGAAAGATCTGGCTCACAGCTCATATGGGAATAACTGTGACTTCAGAACAATGACCTGAAATAAACTTGTATTCAATTTGGAATGAACGAAAGTAACATTTTCATAGCTTTTAAACAAATGTTCAAGTCCTCACTGCCCTTTTCCCAGTGCAACAGTTCACTGCCCTGGGCTTATTTTCACGGCATCCATGATGCTCCTTTGCTAGCACAGGGAAAAACTGTAACTCAGAGACCAAAAATGTAAAAAAAAACCAACCAAACAACCAAAAAAACCCACAACAAACCTGGAACAACAAAATCAGTCTGTGTAAAAGCACGTATCAAAATACTTCTTGGTACAAGGTTTGATTTTTTCTTTTTTTAATGAGGGCTCAACTGTGGCTTAAATAGGAAGTAGTATGGGATGGTATAGGACAATAAATGAGTCAGGTGTTTGAAAGCCAGACTTCCCAGATTCTTGCCTTACAGAAAGGATGACACAAATCATCAAAAGACCAGCCAAATAACATTTATGAGAAGAAGAAACCCATTAGAGGGAAAATGAAAACCCTCACTATGAGACGGAGCCAATGTGAAATAGCTTGTAAATAAAAATTCCTGCCTGGAGACGCTGCAAAGAACCTGCTTGTCTTTGTCACAGCAGGTCCTTGCCTCCAGTTTGCTCTCAGTCAGGGCAGCAATAAACTCCCCGCAGACCCTCGGGGGTACTGAAGGAATCTTTTTTTTCCTGTCACCCATGCTGTGTATCTGTCACCCATTCCTCTCGGTAGCACCCCCACGTTTGCCATGATGTTACCATCCCAGCAGGGAGGAGAGTCTGTATTTGGGCTGTATAATATGTTTACAAAGAAGTTAGTGTGACATTCCATCAGGAAAAGCCCTAATTACACTGAAACCATTCAGTTTGTGCCACCAGCTCCCTGTCTATATATGAACATGACTTTTGCCTGTATCAGTGAGACCTACAACTGCGTAACATCAACGTGACTGGTGAGGATTTAGCTCAAGACTGATCAGCTCTGTGTATGGAAGACTAGCACAGAGATCCCCAAACGTGCTCTCTGCTGCTCACGTAGCATATCACCCCTCTGTTCCTGATAACAAAACATGGTCCCTACTGAGAGCGCAGTTACCAACACCCTCAGAAAACAACAATGCATATGAACATTTAAAAGAGATTTAAAAATATGGGTTTTTACACTTACTTTTGGAAGGGACGCGTAGATTGGATCGTACCACTTGTAAGGAGTCTGCTTGAACTCGAAGCTCGTAGCTTTTCACACTTTCATAATCCAGAGACTTTTTAACTGAGATCACACCTGTTCTGTTATTAATAGCAAACACATCTGAAATCCAGCAAAAACAGAAGTTATTTTCTAAGATGCATAAACACTTCTTTTTTTAGTGCTTCTATATTTTTCTCTGACACTGTCTTTAGGAACTCATCCCTATGCCTTCCCTCAGGCCTGTAAAAGGCCACAAAACTCCTCTTTGAAGCTGTCTTCACAGGAGCAAAGCAGATGAATCTGACCTGGGACGGAAAAGACTAACCTGAGGACACACTGACAAAGACCAACAACCTGCTCTCATAAAAAGGAGGATGGGACAGGGAATTCTTCCACATCCCTCCAAATAATTTAGTGTAATTTTGCTGAGAAATTTCAAGGTGGATCATTGAGAGTACTCAAGAAGGATGTAATTGCAGGAATGATGTTTTGTTTAAAATATCAGGCTATAATTTACTACTAGTGGTTCCAGCACAGCAAAGTCTAGTATGCTTTAAAACAGATTTCTAAGCGAGAAATAGGATCACGGACTGGTTTGTGTTGGAAGGGACCTTTCAAGGCCATCTAGTACAACCCCCCTGCAGGGAGCAGGGACATCTGCAACTAGAGCAGGTTGCTCAGCGCCCCATCCAACCTCACCTGGAATGGTTCCAGGGATGGGGCTTCGACCACCTCTCTGGGCAACCTGGGCCAGGGTCTCACCACCCTCAGCATAAAAAAATTCTTCTTTCTATCTTAGTCTAAGTCTCCTTCTTTTAGTTTAAAACCATCACCTCTTGTCCTGTTACAACTGGTGCTGCTAGGAAGCCCCTCCCCAGGTTTCTAACAGGCCCCTTTAAGTACTGGAAGGCCAGAATAAGGCCTCCTGGGGCCTTCTTTTCTCCAGGCCAAACTATCCCCTCAAAACTATTAATATTCTTACTCCAGTTTGCCCTAGATTCACACCACGTGGCACCAAAGTGAATTTCCGTATCAGTGAGATTTTAATTGTATTTTTATTTTTACTGTCATTTTGCTACCGAACCTGATCTTCAGCTGATCTCTAAAGGCTGGATAACAGCAGTCCTTCCTGCCTGTACAGATGAGGTGGGATTTCACCTCGGCAACTTCACTTCTAATCATTTTTTCTTGAAGACTTCCGATGCACACACGAGGCTCAGCATTACCACTAAAACTGAAATATTTATTAGCACTTACCCTCTTCATTTCCTGAAACAATTGAATATATAATGGTCTGGTTCAAGGCAGCTGCTGTAACAACTTCAACCACGGTTCCTTTTGGTGCGCTTTCGCTCACTGGCGGGGGTCTGCAGAATTGGACAAAAGTATTTGTATTATGTTCTAGTTGTCCAAACTTACTCCTCATACTAGCAATTTCATCTATCTATTAGGCTGCCAGAAAGTGAGAGGATCTATTCTTACAGAAAGACATATTAAAAACACAAAGGTTTATCCTGGTTTACCCCAGTACAAAGTCTAACTGACAAGGGATGACAATACAAAGATAGAATGGTTCTTTGATATGAGAAATGGAAAAACCGGGAAATAATGAGTAGAAAAGGGGAAGACAAGAGTCACCACAGCATGATAAACTGCAGGTAAAATCTAGAAAATAATAGCTCTTTTATCACATTCATCTCTACTAAGAAGACTCTAACCTATTAGAAATGCAAGCAGGTAAAGTCATTCCAGGGTAAACCTCTATTCATTTAAAAAGGAAGCACTTTAAAGCTACCTCCACAGGAATTCTGACATCTTTTTTCAGAAAGATGGAAAAATTTTCCTGTCAGCCCATTTTGGTACTAAAAGCCAAGATAATTTTCAGGAAATCAGCTGCAACCCAAGTGTATATAACACATCTTTTAAGCATTCAGTAAATTGTTTCTGATTCACTGAGCACTGATTTGTGCAAAGAAAGAAAAAAGATTACACTACTAACACATGGGTATCTTAGCTTCCTCATACCCTACAAACACTGAGCATCTCATACTCAGCATAGTTTTGTCATATATAAATAATGAGTTTCCTCATGGAACACAGCAAAGAATTACTTCACTTTTTTTCTCTTCCTTTGTTTAAATGCTGATTAGTAACACTTCGAGAAGCTGCTTCCTCACGGAAACTGTAACTACATCAGAAGGAATAAAGAGTCTGTGCTAATTATTTAAAACATCAACCTAAACAATTTTAGCAAAGGAGAATGAGATCACAAACCACATTTTCAGATTTTCATCACAGTAAGCAAAAGTTGGTTCCATGGTTGAAACTACGTATGCTAGTAAAGAACTAAATTTGAATGAAAAGTTTTGTACTCATCCATAAATGCAGGTGCATGTTAACTAAAACTAGCACTATCCAGATATTTTCTATTTTTCAAAAATTACACTCATTTGGTATATAATGACAAAAAAGACATATATATGAGGATCTATGAAATAGGCTCTAAATAGGACCAGACTTTAAGGAGTATTTCAGTTGTGCACTGGTCTTCAAAATAGCAGACAGAATCTATACTTGCTTTTGTTTCAGGGAATATCTCATGACTTTCATTCTCCAGGTATTTTTCATATACTCCAGCCCATACCACATTTTCCCATTCTAAGGGCAGAAAGTTGGAATAGCTGGAAAGCTGGTTACAGTCCTAAACTACTGAACCCAAACCTGGCCATCGCACACCAAAAGACCAACAATCCACCCTTGATCTCTGCCCTACAAACATTTTCTTTGGGATGAACATTGGTTCGGACATCTTAGAAAAAGTTCCAGAAAATGACACTAAACATATGGAATACCTCAAATTCTGGGTTCAGTTTTAGGCCTCTCACTCCTACGAAAGGGTACTGAAGGGCTGGACCAGGTCCAGGGAAGGGCAACGAAGCTAGGGAAGGGTCTAGAGCACAAGTCTGATGAGAGGTGGCTGAGGGACCTGGGGTTGTTTAGTCTGGAGAAAAGGAGGCTCAAGGGAGACCTTCTCTCTCTCGACAGCTCCCTGAAAGGAGGTTGGAACCAGGTGGGGGTCAGTCTCTTCTCCTGAGGAACAGGGGAGAGAACAGGAGGAAATGGCCTAAAGTTGCTTCAGGGGAGGTTTAGGTTGGACATTAGGAAAAAACATCTTCCCTGCAAGGGTTGTCCAGGCTCAGGCTGCTCAGGGCACTGGTGGAGTCCCCATCCCTGGAGGGTTTTAAAGGCCATGTAGACATGGTGCTGAAGGATGTGGTTTAGTGGTGACCTAGCAGTGTTGAGTTTATGGTTGGATTTGATGATTTTAAAGGTCTCTTCCAACCAAAACTATTCTATAGCTCAATGAGTTAAGTTAAAAAATTTCAGATGCTAAATTATTCATTATTGTTTAAAAAAGAAAAATATGTATTGTAACATCTTCCATTGCTTTATTTGCTTGTTTTGCTTCCTGTGTAGGGCCCAGTCTGTCTTAAATGAAAAGACTGTATCTGAGTGTGGCAAGGTATCAGTTCTTCTGAACATCCTCAGCCTTTCAACTGTACTAACGGGGAGAAAACAGTGTTCCAGACAGAGCCACACTGGATCATGTAACAGTGACTGTGTTGAAACACTGATCTTCATTTTTTTTTTTTCCAGAAAAAGAAGATGGTAATGTCACTTCTCAGACCCACGTGTACAGAGCACATCACTCTGGCTTCCACCCCTCTGCCTCAAGTGTGCTATCAGCAGTAGAAATAAAGTTCATTATTGCTACCTGATTTATTATGCTGCAAAACCAGTGCTATAAAATGCTTATTAGCGTGCATTTTACCAACCCAAAGGTCAATCTTAGACACAGGAGAACAAGGATGTTAAATCTGAAGGCATTTCAAGCTGTCACTCTTTTGATGGGATGAGAGATGCAAGCCAGTAAGGAAAATAAAGACGCTTTTTATGTTGTATTATATATTATATTGTTTTCCTTTTCTTCTGAAGGCACGTAATTTGAACAGAAACCCTCATGACTGCATATGCATAAACCCCATCATTCACCTGAAGCATGCTTTCAGTACATTCTTTTAATGGAAACAGCCTCGTCCCTTCCCCTCTGACATGGCAAGTCCATGAATTGAGAAATCACAATCAATTATCAAGTGGCTTCTGGAGGCTCCAGAGGGAGCGGACAGGAAACGGCCACGGTGGTCACACTGATTTCATCTCCCTGATTCCACTGTGGTGACCAGGTTCAATGGGAGCAATGCATCAGCTGCATTAACACACCTCTGCTCTTGGGCTGAAACGTACAGAAGCGAACCAGCAAGAGACAATCATATCCACTTGACAAGACACTGTTTCTTCATCCTGTACTACAAGCTCTAATGAGCTTTCTTTGGGGCTAAGTTCATTATTTTCCAATTTTTGAAGGACTAAGACATACAAGAGTGCTTTTTTTTCCTCTCAGTGCTAGACATACTATTTGAAGCCACATTAGGGAACAGGGAAGGACATTTCTATGCAATAACTTTGGATTACTGGATGGCAAAGACCAGTTAATTTGGTGAGAAGAGGTGACGCTAGCAAACCAGCTGGATACCAAAAAGGGAAGTTTGCTGCTGTGACTTCAGTGATTAGGATTCAGTGTGTCTAAAGGTATTTTTGTGTGATAACATTTGCAGCACCTTATTGAGCCTCTGAGCACAACAGCCGTAGGTAGAGTCCCTACCCTGCCAGCCACGGGCTCTGACTGTACCTGACAGCACAGGTCCGTCACTGTCACCTGCGTGGGACTGGCACGCCAGTGCTGTACAGCCTGGGGCTCACTTGTCTGAAATATTTTTATTTAAAATGGTTACCTTCTGAGCTCCTGAACAAAACACCTTCTAAAATCTGTGATTTCTAATATCCCCCAACTCAACACGCATGGGTACCCACACACCTACAGTCACTGAATGTAAGAAGGTCCCGTGCATTAACAGGATAATCCCCTTGCACCTCAAAAATCTTAGGGTGCAAATCTTTGGGATAAACAATTACCACTCACTTTTGCCACCTCTCAGCTGCAACTCGGTCTAGCCATAGTCACTTTCCTTTGTGCAACCACCTTTTGACCATACAAAATGAAGTTATTTCTACAGCAATTTTTCGCTCATTCACATGGTATTTTTCTGTAACGGTCACAGCAACGTGCGATTTAGGTTGGTCGACCTTCACTTGAACTTTTTCACAGAAATAATGAATGGTTATCTCGTCAGCATCCAGGTTGGGATATCCACCCCTGCTGTGCAAGCAAAACCCCGTAGGATACTCGGACTTGGCATGAAGCCACCCAACCTGCCTGAACCCCTCCTGACAAGCTGTGTGGGGAAAAGGGCATGAGGTACGAAACTGCCATAAAATCTGTTTGTCCCTCATGAAAAACAAAAAGGCAACCCCAAACCAGAAGAAAACAAGATTGAAATAATGTACTTATTTATACACAAAAACAAAGGATACAAATTGTTAAAGAATAATACCTTTTGATTTGTTGTATCTCAACTACCCATATCTGGATCAGAGGGGGAAAAGGAGACTGGACACATCTTAAATACATTGTAGGGCATAACTACTTTTCATGTCCAAAGTGAAATTTTAACTTTTCTTCTCTCTGCTTCTCGTTTCCCTTTGCTGAACACATCAGGCTCTCATCCATTTTTCAATTTGCCTGGTGTCCAATATGCTTTAAATTCACCATGAAACTTTTCTATCTCCAAAAGCATGAACATGAGATTTAATCAAAAATTAAATTTAAACCCAGCAAACCCAATAATAAATTGGAAAATTGGTTTAGTACTGAAGTTTAATAGTGCAATGTGTATGTACTCTGTATTAGACACTTCAGTCAACTCTATTTTCTGAATTATATTTTAGTTCATGGAGGTCCATAAGCACACTTCAGAACTTAAAATATTTCTTATTTTTGTTTAAGATTCTTAGCTCAACTTGATTAAAATGCCATCTGGACCTCTCTTGATAAAATCATCTTCCTGCCTTCTCTCACATTACAGCTTCTTAAAGTGTTTTGGCCTTAGCTGCTTTTAACCCTCAAGAGCATTGTACCTGAAGCTATTCCAGCCTCTTCTATCTGAAACATGATTCTGAGCAGCATACCCCATTCAACCAAGTAGAATTTAGGTATTTTTCTGGAGGAAAGTCAAGTGTGAGCACAGCACTAGAGTATGTAAGATGAGGTGAGCTAACAGCAAAGTGTCATGGAAACTAAAGTAGCTAATAAAAACTATGAACAAAAACATTTCTATTGGTCTTGCTGTGCAGCAGAGGTTGTACAGTTGTGAAAAAACTGCACGAGTTTCTAACTGGTGCAGCAAAA